TGGGACCGCGGCTGGTATGACCCCTGGCACTCCCGGGGACCGCGCTACGAGGACATGCCGCTCTACAAGGAGCGCGGCTGCTACATCTGCCATCAGGGCGTCCGCCTGCTGGAAGGTACCGGCCCGGGGGTCCTTCCTTCGGGCCTCTTGGCCCTCCTCGGCCCGGGCCACCCACCTCCATGTCCCCCTAACGCTGCCCCGGGCCGCGCAGCCTGTTTAAGCACTCAGCCCTCACCGCCAGCCAAGGTTTCTCCTCGCATAGTGCAAAACAAGACAGAGGGGGAAGAGCCCGCCCTGCCTCATGAGCTAAAACTGCGCTCTCAGCCCGTTGCCAGCCCGCCCAGCGGCCTTGGTAATAAATATTCTGTTGTTTTTTGTCTCAAGGGGTTCGGCAAGCTCAGTGGCTAACCAAGACGAAGCTGGTGGAAGGCTTACCTCCGCCGGTGCTGAGCATCATTGACAACCCGGCTCACCAGCTCGAGGAACACGAGGAGGGCATAATGCGTGCGATCTCACACGCACGGCTCTGGGACACGACAGAAGTTGCTCCCAGGAGAGAACATTATTGGTAAGTCCTTGGTCATAGGGAAAAACTTCCCGCTGCGTGGTTCTGCCTTCAGCATAAGCTGGTCATCAAGCAGGTGACTTAAGAACCAGAGTTTTTAGCAAGACAAAAGAAAATTCATACATGGATTTACTGTTGTATCAGTTTGTCAGCTTGTAAAACAAACAACAACCAAAACAAAAAAAGCCCAGTTCTGAATACTAACAGTAGTACTGGTGTAAACACATACGCTGCATTAAAGCTTCTTTCAGGCCAAGGTCTGTTTTCAACTCGAGATCCACTTCTAGCTGATGCAGAATGTCAGTTTTTTAAATAACTAATGGTAAGCATTACCTCTGCCAACTTGGAACAGGACTGGCGTGTGGGCTATTAATCTGAAATCTGTGTTAAGTGTTTGGAAATGTTATGTTATTACATGTTTTACATACAGTAATGTTACACCATTCATGTCCCAGAAGCATCTGCCTGCCATTATGATCACATTTTTTATATAACTATTTTTTTTCTCTTTCTAAAGCCCAGTACTGTTTGAAGACTTGATACATGTATGTCGGTTAATGTCTGTGAAGTATCCTTCTCTGGCTAAAAGAATGTTGTCTAGAAACTACAAGGTGGCAGCTACGTGGGAAAGAGGTTAGTTGCTGCTACGGTGGAAGCGTTTAGCTCTTTTCATTAATGTAAGGGGGGTAACAAATCTGCTAGCTTTAAGGCTGAGAACTTGAAGAAAATGAAAGGATTTCTGGAACCAAGTAATTATTTTAGTTTAAGTAAGCATGGGCGGCCTTGGATGATGGCAGGATACTTGCCCTGAGGAGATTATTAGGGTGTTAGACAGTATCAGCGAGATGGTGGGCAAAGAGAATCAGCGTCTTGGAACTGGTTGTTTAATTTTTTGTGTCCAAAATCTGTACTGTTGTTTTTCTAAGTATGTTTAGTTAAGAAACTAACACCAGCAATTAACACTGGTATTTTAGAAGAAGAACCTACAGGTGAGCTACTATTTGAGTTTGGAGGTGAGGGGGAGAGAGCGAGCCCTGAAGATCAACAACTTGTTAGAATCATAGAATCACCATAGAATGCTGCTGCCTGAAAGGAAACATATGTCCTTCCCTAATCTTATTTCAGCAATGTGTGAATGTAGCCTAATTTCCCTCCCCAGAATCCATTCTCCTTCAGGTCCGTGGCCTGAATGGAATACTTATGAACTCTGTGGCCCAAATACCACCAGTGGCCTCCAAGGAGGAGATACTGGCCACTGAAGAACATGTTCTGGAGACCTTCTATCCCATCTCTCCTACAATCGATCTTCAGGAAGTGAATGTGTACAAAGAGCTCAACGACACAGGTAAATCTAGCTGTCAAGAGTAAGTCTCTGTCGGACTAAATGCTCAGGTTAACCCGGAGTCCTTGCCCTTCCACAAGACAGCAGTGGGTAGGGAGTGTATGGGAGTGAGGGGACAGAGGAGCCGGGCACAGCATGTGCAGTGCAAGCGCTCCAGACCTGTGGCAAGTGTATTGTGGTCTAAAGAGGACTGTGAAGAAGAACTTAAATCTCGGCAAATTACTTTAACAGTTCCTGAAGATACAGGAGAAAACATTGGCTGTGTAGTCTCTTACTGAGCGTTTGCTGACATGATTATCTGCCATTTAGGTTTTAGAGATGGTTATCCCTACTCTCATCCTCACACTCTGTTCTTCCTGGAATCAGCCAACATTCGTCCTAACAGGTTCAGACCAGAACAACTTCGTGCTAAAATGCTGATGTTTGCTTTTGGCAACGCGCTGGCGAAGGCTAAGGTGCTGTACGGGGTACGTATTGGAGACTGCTGCTGGCTCCCTAGGGCTTTGTCATTTCTCGGGTGCTGCAGCTAGTGGAAAGAGCTGTGAGATTCCCCTGCCGTGGTGTGTTACAGTAGTTTTCAGATCTGAGTTTCCCAGCCCAGAGGTCTAACTCCAACCTGCAGGTACGGTTACTGACGTCTGCTGATCCAGGAAACTGTTGCTCAGCAATGAGCGTGTTCGTGATGTAACACGCATTGGAGTCATAATGGGTAGGAACCAGGGAGTAAGTTCAACTGGAAAACTCTAACCCATCCCACAGCTCCGTATGTAAATTGATACTTCATTGCTGGCCAAAGGAGGAATTTTAATTAAAATACAGAATCTACATTCAAAACTTGTTTGACTAGAGTAATTTTCTGGGCAAGGTAACAATACATTTATTAAAATCTTGGCTTTAAACCAAGTAGAAGATGCAGAATCAGCAAGTACTCATACAATTTCTGTAGTAACTGGCTTTTTAAATGTTCTCCTCCCCCCTCCCTTCTTTCCTAGAATGATCCCAAGGTTTTGGAGCAGCCAATAGTGGTGCAAAGCGTTGGCACAGATGGCCAGCTCTTCCAGTTCATGGTGTTCCAGTTAAATACAACAGACCTTGTCTCTAGCGATGGCATAAAAAATCTAGTCTGGATTGACTCTGATCAGAATCTGTATGAAAAAGCCCAGTGTATTCCAGAAGTCAAGAAAAGAGTTGTTACGGTGAGCAAAACTTGGGAAATGGTCTGGGAAATCCTGCCCTCTCACCTCTGCCGGAGGTTTGGGAGCTGGCGTAGAGCTGCAGTGTGGGTTTTAGGCCACCTGAAGGGACCTGACACAGGCACTGGCCTTGTTCTTACTTAAGCAGGTGTTACTGACAGGGAGTATTTGTAGTGCTGATGTACCACATAGCGTGCAAGCCACATGCCAAGCTTAATACGAGCTCCTACATAAAGATATCCCCATCTGTAATCTACCAGCTCATAATACGCTTGTTTAAAATCAGCTCGTGCTCTGATGAGGGAAGTGCTTGCATGCAACTGTCAGCTTCGCTGTCGAGTAAACAGAGCGCAGTGCTGTCAGCCCTGGTTACGCTGGGAGGGCGTCTCAGTGTGATGGGCAAAGGGATTTTTGCCATCTGAGATTTCTACCAGTGGAACTGCCCACGGACAAATCCACCTGAGGTGGGAGAGCATGATTTGGAAGCTACCACGTCTGAAGTCTTGTTCAAGCGTATTTAAAGCCGTTGTTTGTCTGCATTAATCACTTCACTGCAAACTGAGCATCCGTGTCTTTCTCTCTGCAGAAGCCCGCTGGAATATATGGCTTTCAGCCAGACACATTCAAGAAGTTTCTGGCACTGTATCTGCATGGAACTGTGTGAAAATCAGCTCAAATGGAAATACTTCGCCAACTGTACCTGCTGCTTCTCTTTGCCAGAACCATCACATGATTAAAGAAAGGTGGATTAATTTACTTTCAAAAATAAATTATATTGTTACTGAAAGTAAAAAGTTTTTTAAACTAAAGCGTGCATGAAGAAACCCTTTCATTTTGGGGGCTCACCTCTGGATTTGAGTTAGAGTCATCAAATGCATCCTCCTGCACTCTTCCACCATTGCCTAGAAAGAACGTAAGCCAGTCATTATTCCTCTGCGCAGGTTCTGCTCTCGGTGTGCCTTTGCACAGAGCTAGACTCAAACCTATTTTCCGAGGTTGCTTTGAGGACCTCTGAATGCAGTGTACGGGGAAGAGACTTACAAAGCTTCAAGGGGGCAGCCTGAGACAGGAGCCTTTTTCATTCTGCCTGGCTTTTACTTTGTTTTACTCCTGGCTGCTTTGGGATGTGTCGTGCCGCCCTGCGCTTAGTTCCCAAAGCACTTAATCGGTGAGATTGCTTTGTTGGATCTATAGAACTGCAGGTCTTTTATCCCCCAATCCTGGATGAAGAGAACTATCCATTTTGGGAAAGTGGTGTAGAATGTAGCCTGAAACTTTGGTGCCTGGTAGCTGGTATTTGCTGCTAAAAATACAAAGGAAGAATTTCTTCCTGCCACACAGAGTTAACTGAGCAGGAAGCGTATTCTTTTTAAGATGGGGGGATTAGTGTGGTTTTTGTGAAATGAAGGCTAAATTAGCTCCAGCCAAATGTAGAATGTTTTGCAATTCTGCACTGATACCCTCCAGCACATGGGAAGGAATAGGACAGCCTGCACTATTTTGAGGTGTGGAAGAGCATATTTCCAAGAAATTAATCTCGCTTCGGTGTCTTGTGTCAGAGACTGGTCTGTTCTTTGTGATCTTCTCTGACCATCTGGATGAACACCCCAGTTGTGGGTTCCAGTCTCAATGCATCAGACAACTCTGCACCGCAGGTTTCAGAAGACAGATTTTCACTAGTCAAATTTGAGATCAACAGTTGCGCCCAGTAAATTGGGATGCATCAGCTGTGAGTTAAATTAACAAATCCCTGAATAGTTAGGAGAAAATACTTGAAAGATAAATAATCTGGTAAGTGCTGCATTGATCTAAATCATGTTAATTCTGCCTGCTCAAGGGATGCCTAATTCAGCTTATCGATTTAAATCTGCTCAGATCCGTAATTTGCACCCAGTTATTTAGGAACGTGTTTTAATACACTTGTGCTCTGTGGAAGCTGTTCCGGTAGATGTCTCTTTCTCAGGCTGTTGGCTCTCTATGTCCCACGGACCCAGCTGAACATCTTCAGGCAACAGCCCTTGGACTGTTGACGCCCCCTCGCCCTGCCAGCTTTGGGTCATGACCGGTCTTGAGTGAGAAACCTAGTAGGGCAGCCAGCTGCCGCATGAACGTTCGCAGAGCAGTTTCGCTAAGGCAACGTAGTAGAAGAGTGGCTGTGGTGGAGCAGGGGCATGGAGAGATGAAACGCCTTGCGTGCTTCTGGTAGATGTGGGAATCTATGAAGACGGGCTACATGGGCAAGAGTCAAAGTCCATTCAGATGCTTTTACCTCAACAAGGACATCTCTATTAGGATGGGCAGCAGAAGAGGAGAAACTAAGCGAAGCTCGAGTCCTGCTGTCTCTGAGGCTGAGCAGAGACAAAGCAGGAGCACAGGGAGAGAGGGAGAAGGCAGAACAAAGGCAGTTTTGAAAAATAACAGAAGCAGTAAGGCGTGAGAGAGTCAGAAGGGCAGTGGGGCTTCAGCAGGTTACAAGGGGCATCAGAAAGCTGCTTGAGATGAGGGGACCATACACAGGCATGCAAGACCATGTCCCTGGTTTGCTCAGGGCACAGCTGATCCTGCCTGCGGTCAGCGGGGAAGAGGTACTCGCTTGTTGCTGGAAGGAGCAGCTGATCCTTGTGCTGGGTAAGGTCCTCTGAGGTCCAGGAGCGGAACTCAAGCGGGCAGAGCAGGGCTCCCAGCTTGGAACCTGGGACGGGATGCTCAGGCTGGGCCATCGTGGTAAGGGTGTGAGGTCTGTGAGCCAGGCAGCCCCCCTTCCACGGACAGCTGTGCACACGTGTGTGGTGTCCCGCTGGTCTTCCCAGGCATGCTACACGTGGTTTGATTCACCTGCTTGTTCCTCCAGTGTGACCTGCTGGAATCAGCCCAGCTGGGGGAGGTGGGACCGAGAGCAGGACAATGGGTCACAGAGGCACATCTGGGTTGGCATCAATAAGTTATGAAGCAGACGAATGGCGTTACCTCAGCACTGACCAAGAGCCAGGCTTTAACTTTTAATGAGCGGCAGCAGGGGAAGCAGAACATGCCACAACAGGGCGGCAGGAGTGCGAGGTGAAGGCCTGGCGGTGCCTGGCTGCCTGGAGGAGAGCTCTGCAGTGGTGCCTGGCTGCCCAGAGGAGAGCTCTGCAGCCACTGGCACAGAATCTAGCCCCCAGCCTGCCCTGGGGATGATGCACGGTGTGCTGTCCGGGCTCCAGTGCTCCACACTGCCTTCCTCTGAACTGCTCCCGGTGCAAAATCTAACTCCACGGGCTGCGCTCGTGCCAGCCAGTACACACCATCCTCAGACTGGAGCCCCTGGTTGTTCAGATCCTCCTCCTGCATTTAATTTAATGAAAACGAAGAGGAGAGACAATTATCCTTAAGGTTTGGCTCAGGTGACGTTTAGAGGAGGGAACTTGGCCATTTCTCATGGTGGTGGTTAGTAAAATTAGCCTGTAATCCAGTAAGAACCAAGGGGAAGGGCTTTTCTATACCCCACAACAAAAACGCAACAGGCAGCAATGCTGCTTCCTCCAGGCAGTCAAGCAGGGCCTAGATGGGCAGCATGGGCAGGGATGGCCCCAGGGAGGCAGGAGGTCCTCACCAGCACCAAGTAATTACCCTTGGGGGTCACCTTTCCAAATGATGGGTGAGGCCCGCACGCTACTTTCTGCAAAGCACAGAGGGACATGATTGCCTGGACCAAAACCCACATTGGGGCACGGCTGTGGGCCCCGCACGAGGACATCTGTGACGTTAACCCAGGGACAAACCTGCACAGGTAGTGAGGGCTGCAAACACGCTTCGCTGCTCAGCCCCGCTGTTAATTACATGCTAACAGGTTCTGCAGGCTCAATGATTTTTCTGGGTCGTTCCCAAACCCAGTGGACACCCAACACATTGCCCCCTCACCCCTCTGCAACTGCACGGCTCTCGCTCTTGGAATTGCAGCAGTGGTGTGGCTGCGGGTGCCAGGTGGGAGCTTTCCCCGAGGACCAGTAGAGTTCCAGGATGGCTCGCAGCCCTGTGAGCCCGCAGCCCACGCTTGAATGTTCCTGCAAGGAGGAGGGAAAGAAGCTGCACAGTCGCAGCCAGCCATATCCTGCCTGAACTAGTCAAAGGCAGAGAACAAGTCTCAAGACAGCAGTTCCTGGGAGCGTTGCAGGCACTTTGCATCCACCCATCTAGACCTAAAAAGCCCAAATCTCTCCCCAGGTGCTGCAGCAGCCTCTGATGCTGCCCGTCGGGGAGCCAGGTCAGCTTCACCCAGGTTTCTCCATCTCCAGCAGCTGGTTCAGAGCCTGGAGCTGAGTTTGATCCTGCAGCGGTGCACGCACCCACCCTGCACCACACTCGCCTCCTCAGCAGACCCCATTGCAGGCCTATAGATCTATACATACAATTTTTTATTTGAAGGTGACGCTCCAGTCCCTTCCCTCCCTTGCTTACCTCCCAGCAGTGTAGGACTCCAGCAGCGGGAGGTAGCAGGATCCACCTCCTCTCCCAAGGTATCCCTGGTCTGTAACCTGCGCACAGAATGCCAGCCTCCATCACCACACTGGTGTCAACTCCTCCGGCCTCTTAACAGGGAAACCCTGGGGGACAGGGTGCAAAAAAAAAAAAAAAAAAGTACCACTCCCCCCTCTTTCAGCCCCAGAAAGCCCCACTCTGCCTGCAGCCAGGCGGGCTGGGTGTAGGGAGGGCGAGGGTCTGGCAAGCGCATCCTCAGCCCAATGCAGGCAAGAATGACCATTTTCCTAGGATTTTTCAAAATGCTTAAAAAAAAAATACAAGCAAGCATCGCTAAAGCAACCCTCTCCCAGCCCCCGCAGGTCTTGCAGCACAGCCAAATCCCCGTCCACCTTCCCAGGCTCAGCGAGACGCCCCCAACACCAGCCGCCCCTCAGCTCTGCATCACTGGTCCCACGTCCCAAACCTGAGGTTTGGTTCTCGATAAATAAAGGTCGAAAAAAAAATACCCCCTCCCAGGTCTGGCAGCAAACACCAGGAACAAACTGCAGAGCACTGAAATCAAATGTTTATGTTGATATTTATTACAGCATGGGGAGGGGGGGAAGAAGGGGGGAGAACCGTTTCATTCAAAAAACCATCCCATACCAATGAAGACAATAATTTAGCTATTCATTTTAAAATACATTAAAACCGGTCCTTTCATTTCCTCACGTCAGAACAAAAAAAAAAAAAAAAAAAAAAGAAAAAAGAAAAAAGAAAACCACAAACCCAAAAACCTGAACAAGATGTAAAGTGGAACAGGGAAAAAGTTGCCCCCTTAGGGAGCCCCTGGGTATGTTTGCGATGCAACAAATCTGCGTTCCTTATTTCTCAGCGTTACTCGGAAAAATATTAACCTGACTGTAACTATGAGACTGACACCCTCATACCCTCCCAATCCCACCCGCCCCTCCCTCCCCAGCGACTTTCTACAGGTAAAGCACAATTAAAATGCCTAAGAGAAAGAAGGCAAACATTAAAAAAAAATTAGTATTATACACTAAAAAAAAAGTTTTGTCATCTCATGTCTTGCAGTCAGAATAATAAAAACAAGCCAAATGTTCCCCAAAAACATTTCAATGAAGGGGTGCGGAAAAAAGACATCCCTTTAATAAAACATTATCAACAAATATCGTACACAAACTACAATGTATAATAATTATTTTTTTTTCCCCTCTCGGTAATTTTCGAACCAGACTACAAGGTAAGAAAAAACACTGAAACAAGATACAATGCTTGCAATAATCCGCACAAAGGTCAAATCCAAGGGAGAGAGTATTTTACAGAATATGATATACATGGAGCAGAAATGGGAGCTGGAGAAAAACAAAGACCAAACTACAGGGTAGTGTCATGTACAGAGATCCCAACCCGCAGCCTTGGCTCATCCCTTCCTCTCCCACCAGAAGGAAGGGCCTTCGATGCTTGCCATTAATTTTTATTTTCTTATTACAGAGCGAGCCTACAGAATAGCAAGGTTACATTTTAACAACAAGAATTCCTTAAAAAATATCTCCATCCAGTTCCAAATCATAGATAAATGAAACCCTGACAAGAGCACATCTCTAAAGAAAAGACACCCCCCCCCCCCCCCCCCCAATACCCCCAAAGCAAATAAAATCCCCCAAAACCCCCAAAGTTAGCTGGAGATCACAGTTTCAAAGTCCCAGGTCAGATTAACCCTTTCTTTCAGTGGATTAAAAAAAATTTATTAAAAAAATCAATTTTTGCAGTGAACCAGCTGAAGGACTCTGGGGAAGGGAGGGACAGAGATTTCTTCTTGTACTCAGAGAGAGGGGGAAAGACTAACACAGTGCATGCCACAGTCACAGAGAGCAAGATCACGATTCATTCGAGGATGTGATCCTAGAAGGGGTCACCTGCGTTAACAAGTTTATAACGAGGTGGTGGAGTCTCTTCCCCAAAGCAGATCTTGTTAACTGGAGGAGGAAGCGTTGTGCTGCAAACGAACCAAAAAAAAACCAAACCAAAAAAAACCCAAAACCAAAACTAGAAGGGAAAAAACCCCCCAAAACAAAACAAAAAAAGGCCTTCTGAACGAAAACCACCATTGTAAACTGTCCAGTTTATTTAAAAAAATGACTACAACAGAGACAACATGAGATTTCATATCTAGACTAGCTTCCTGGTGTCGCACGGCACAAACATACAACAGGTTCGGTTTCTGTCTTTATTTAAAAGAACAAAGCAAAGAGATCGGAGTTGAGTGCTAGAGGCTTCCGTTTGTTTCCAAAAAGAAGTGTCATGTACATATATAAACCCTTCTGCACAAAGAAGGGTCTTGTCATGTCTTGAAATATTTTAAGTTTTGTCCTTCATGTTTTATGGAATAAAAAGTTCAGCCTTTTTATTGCATGAAACTAAACCTGGGGTTTTGGCCCCCGCCACGCGTCTCCCTGCCCATACACCTAGCTTCTTCTTCTTCTTCTTCTTGCATAATTCGTTGAGATCCTCCGAACGGCAGCTGACTCTCTTGATCCTGGAGAGGAGGAGGGGGAGGGAAATCACACACTCATCGTCATGCTGGGGGAATACTGGAAGAGAGACAGAGCCAGGGTGAGAAACCAGGCGGGCCAGACCCCGAGACACCGAAGTGGGATGCAAAAGGAGGCTGATGACAACTATACAGCAACCTAATTGGATCTAATAAATCAGGAGGAGAAGATATGCTGGAGACTCGAATTTATCATGGTGTAATCTGCTTTGTAACTTGCTTTTCCGTGGAGAAAATCAACAGAACAGTATGGGGTGAGATGCAATTTAGAACAAATAATTAACATGCAGGCGTGTACATGCTGCTAATAGTGGAAGAAGAGGAGGGAATGTCTGCAGCCACGCACAGCGCCTCGAACCGCCCAGGCCAGCACGGTTGGCTGCATCTGCACCAGCTCCCCTCCACTCCACAGGATCCTCTCCCCTCCCTCAGTACACCCCCCTCCTGCCAAGGACCCAAGCTTGCACCCACCCGTGTATTTCTTCCTCCCACTTTCTGTCCCGGAGCAGCTCACACACAGGTCCAAAAGGCACCCACCGCCAAGGCCACCCACCCCTATGCCGGGACGCCCCAGGGACCGTTCCACCCCGTCCCATCCCGTCCCCAGGGAGGCACTCACTCACATTGTCATTTTGGAAGGAATGGAGAAAGTTGCCTCCCAGCTCCCCGTCGTCTCTTGGAGTGCCCGGGGGATTGCTAATGCCACTTATGTTGTTTGGAGAATTCTGTGGGAGATGGGAGGGGGGAGGCGGTGAGCAGGTCCCTGTGCCCTGCTGAAACACCGTGGGGGCAGGACGCAGCCCCACCTGCCCCGGTCACATCCCCCTGATGTGTCCCCATCCATTGGGGTCACACTCTCAGAAAAAGGGGGCCCACACACCCGTTCTGCAGCTCACTTACTTTTGGAAGTCCATCTATGTCTCCTGACCCTGCACAGGGGGGGACACAAAAGGAGAACAGCCTTACTGAGCACGCAGCAATGGCCCCTGCGCCCCCCTGCCCCCCTCCCCTCCCTGACCACCCTTCTGATCTCCAGCCAAAGGCTCTGCTTCAACCACTGGTCCAAAAGCAAGGGCTGACCCTGGGATGGGAGCAGGCACTGGGATGCTCTGCCAGCGTCCCCGGGGAGTGAAGGCACAGCGGGGCTCCCCAAGGCACAGCCCCCCTGCGCGGGTGCTCACCTAACGATCCGTTCATGTGATGGGGCTCCATGCCGCCCATGCCTCCCATAGGGCCGTCAGAGCCGGGGCCCATCGGGAACTGTGGAAGAAAAAGGCGACAAAACCAAGATCAGCCACAAAACCACCCCGCACATCCGCCACAGTAGCTCCTTCCCAGCCATCTCTCCCTAGCAGGGCGAGAGGAAGGACGCATCAACCCCCGAGGCTGCGGGGCACATCTCAGGGCTCATGTGGGTCCACCTATAAAATTTGGCCAGACAGGTGTGGGCAGACCCAGACCCACGGCAGCGCAGAGGGCTCCCTCCAACTAGCATTTAACGAGATTTAAGTCTGCCCAGATCCCGCAAAACAGCATCTCGCTGGGCACGCAGCTGCCACCACCTTGGCCGGAGCAGCAGGACCGCTGCTCTCTTAATAAGCATAAAAAATTAACAAAGTCACTGAAGAGTTAATCGCTTTTTGATGGTTTGTTTTATTTCTGTTTTGTAACAAATGGCTGAAATCAATTAAACTGCTTTACTCTCAACTGATGAAGTTAATTATGATTTGTTATGGTATCTGATATGTAAATTATTAGAAAGCAGACTTACATTCGATCGACTGCCTGCGGGCGGTACTGGATTAATCATTGTGTAGATGTTGTCACTTGAATTTGTTGAATCTGTGGAACAGTGAAGCCCAGTAAGTCGGGTGATTAATTCATTTCTTAATTAAAACAAACTCATGCCACTTGAACTCATTCTTTTGTATTTTATCACCTAAAATTCCCTCTAAGTACCACCATTTTCTGGCTAATTTGTATTTAATGAAGATCCACAAAGTTTTTAATCACAGAAATTCAACTGTGAAAAATAATTCAACTCCTGGCTGGGAAGCATGGGGAGGTAATTCCTGCCATGTAGCACTCCTCACCTCCTCAAGCCCCGCAGCATCCAAATCCATGGGGGGATATGGGAACATCCCCAAAAGCCATCCCGAAGACAAGCAGCCCACGCCGCTTGCTCCCCGGAAAGGCAAAAGCTACATAAATTGGTTATTGCTGGTTAGGCAGGGGTTGCCTGTGCTTGGTGGCGCAGCCCTAGGGATGGGGGTCCCCTGGCAGGGGAAGGGGAAGGGGCAGGAGCCTGGGAGGGTTGGCCCCCAACGGGGGGTCTTGGGGGGCTCATACCTGCGGGACTGGGCATGATGGGTGTCCCCGGAGGACCGCCGCCGCCGGGTGGACCCTGCGGAGAGACAAAACGGGGATCAGCAGTGCAAACACGAGCATCGCCCACCTCCCCATGTTTTCAAACCCTCCCCCCGCTGGTCCTCGCACTCCCAAACCCAGCCTGTCCCCCCCATCACCCCAGACCAATTACCCCCTCAAACCGCATGAGCTCCCTGAGCCATTAACATCTCTGCACCCTGGCGACAGGATGAACAGATGGAGCAGGAGGACTCACCACGTATGTACCAGGCGATGAAGAAGAGTATGGGATCTATAGAGAGAAGAGAGACGGGTTCAGCCACAGGGTGCACGAGGGCTCCCATGCGCTGGACTCCAGTAGGGCACAGCCCAGAGCCCCTGCCACCCCCCAGCCCAGCCAGGATGGGGGTCCCAGGGCCCACTAGCCCCCACAGCTACACCCCACCATGGGGACAGCAGCACAGGAGCAGGGCTTAGGCTTCAGATGCAGCGCCTAAATGAGAGGCTGGGGAACCCCCTCTCATTAGCAGGAGTCAGCTAACGGGGAAGGGCCTCAATTGCAGGACAGTCCCCAGTCAGCCCCGCTCTCGCTTCAGGGACTGCGGGATACTCACTGAGTTAGCACTGCTGGGGTTCGGCCACGGTCTGCCGGCTCCCGGCCCCCTGGAGTCAAAATTAAACAGGAAAAAAGAAGAAAAGAAGTTGTGTTTTTATCCGCACGGTCCCGCAAAGCCTGAGTTGGCAGCCAAACATCCCCAGCGTGGGGTTTGCCTTACATGTTAATTCCAGGCATGCCGGGACCTAGGGAGTTGGGTGGAGGTCTCATGCCGCTGCTGTAGTTCTGCAACGATAACCAAGGGTCAGTCTACCGTAACGGGAAGGGAAACCGGAGAAGGCAAGAGAAGGGGAAAAAAAAAAAAATACAAGAGGGTTAGTTTGCAAAAATGAGCTTTGAACAAAAATATTAGATGGTGATGAACGCAGAGGCAATTACCAATTGTTTATAAAAAACCAGGCAGCTGAATACGGAAAGGAGCCAGGCTGAGCCCCCGATGGTCTCTGATGCCACACTAGTGGAGGAAAAACAGCCTCCTCCCAGCTCTGGGAGACAAATCTGATCACAGCCCCCAGGCGCCAACAACAGCTTTTTGGGTTTGTCTTCTTGTGCAGGAGAAAACAGGGGCAGCAGGACAAAAGGCAGCGTTGCTTGGAAGGCTATTGCTGCAGTGTAAGGACGGGAAAAGGCTGTGCAAGCTCTCCCCGAGATGGAGCAGCATCCCCTGCTCCCAGGATGACGGCTGGAGCAGGGAAAACCAAGCCAGGCTTGTTTTCCCATTGCTTCCCAGCTTTCTGCTACATCCCCCAGAGTGGGACTGCAGCTGCAGTGAGCGGGTGAAGGCAGGCAGCCCCTCGGGGCTCCTCTCCTGGCTTATTCCACCCCAGCTTAGCCTCCAGCCGGGACTGGGAGCCTCAGATCTGCATCCCTCATCTCCTAAACCCAGTTCTAGTACAAAGCCAAGCCCAAGGCAGCAAAGGAAGAGGAATCCCCCGAATGCCGCGCTCCATTTGGTCTGTGCTTTGCTCCCTGTGCCCTCCGGGCGACGTGCAGCCGGATTTAGGTCGAGCTGCTGCTCCTCCCCTCCCACCTTCCCCCCGCAACGCATCTTTTTGGGCTGTATTTCTGCTATTTAGAGAAAAGATTGCTAGGGCAAGAGAGGGGACAGCTGGCCGCTACCTATTTTGCAGCCCCTTCGAGCGTTCCAAGCTGGATTTTAGGTGCAATACATCAATACTGCTGATTTTTCCCTGCATTTATGGATGCATTGGAGCACAGTGCTCTGCTAAGGGCATCGCCAAAGTTTGTTTTGAAGAGGCAGAAAAGGGTTTTCCCCAAACAAATTACCAGCAAGTCCTTAATTGATCAAAATTCCAGCCATTTACACTGAATAGCAGTATCAAACCCCTTGTTTAAAAAAAAAAAAAAAAAAGCTCAGCATTTTTAATTGGAGCTGAAAGGCTGGAAAACGAAGCCATCTGAAAGATGCTCAGGGAGGGTGGGGAGGGAACGCAGCTGTGCTGAGCGACCTGGATGCCGAGCTCCGGCAAGATGCTGCCGAAACCCAGCAAGCTACAAACCTTCTTCATAGAGGCACCAGGAAACCTAATCCTGCCTTCTGCAGAGCTAAAACTGCGACTGTTAAAGGGAAACAGGCAGCGGCAATCGGCTGTAAGGGATGATTCATGGTTGGTGTGTAATAAGTAGCTGTTGTCAGGACGCTGGGATGTCCTGGCTGCATGCTCTGCAGCCCTTTGGAATAATGTAAGGAGTATTTGGCAAGGTCCTGATGCTAAGCTTAAAGCAAAAAAAAAAAAAAAGCCCTGGGCATGTAAGGCGTGAGGGCTGCTGGGTTTGGTTCAGTATTTTTGGTGGTCCCCTGCACAGGCACTGGTTCCTGGCTGGCTACAGGGAGGCAGTACCCTGCAGTTGCCAGATTGGGAAGCCCAGCGCTTCTCCAGGGGAAGGCTGCCTTTTAAAAAAAAAAAAAACCTCTCCCCAATGTACGTACACAGGGAACGTCGGAGTCAAAAATAAAAGCTCTGAACATTTCACAACTCCTGCCGGCTCCAGAGCCGCCGCCATCCCACGCGGCGCTGAACGCGCGCTCGCGGCTTCCAAGTTCCGCGGCGAGCTCTGCAAGTGGGAAGCGAGCAGCCTCCTCCAGGCAAACCGCCGCCGCGCTCCTTGGCGCAGGCCACGCTAACAAATGCCTTTTTTTTTTTTTTTTTTTGGGTGCAATCCTCCAGGAAAGGAGGATTTTTAAGCAGAGCAGCGGCGCTATCAGAGGGCTGGTCTGTGAAACGACGCTCGCGCAGGTTTTTCATCTCCTGCCCTAGGACGGATCCAGGTGCCTGTGGAGACAGCCAGGCACCCCGGAGCAGCATCCTCCGGCTGGTGTTAAAAAGAGATGACACAACTCCCTCTTTACACAATACTCGCTTATCTCAACAGTCTCTGGGGGAAAAACAAAACAAAACTCCAGCGCACTTGCTCGTCTCTTGACAGACTCTGATCCTCGCGCTACAAACTCGACGTAGGCGACGATGCAGAGAGGATAAACCTCCAACCAAAATATGGTAATCTGGTTTTGAAGTCTCATAGAAAGTACAAACAGGAGTGAGTCAACAACAAGCCGCTCCATAAAGTGAATCAACAGAAAGATAGCATATATTAACCCAGATCTGCTTAATTTCAAGAGTTTACTCCCCTTTCCTGAAATAGAGAGCTCAAGCGGGCAGCAGGAAGGGCAGGCAGAGGGGAACCTCGCAGAGGAAAGCCTTATTCCCCTGCTAAAGGGATCTCTGCCATTTGTTTTTATTTATTTATTTTTAATGCAAGCCTCCTTTCCCTTTCCTGCTGTTAGCGTCGTAACTATTTCCCAGGCAGGCAGTGTAATGCACTCAAAGGCTGCTCCGGCGCAGTGCTAAGTGCCATCCCCTTTGACAAAAGGGCAGGAGGGAGGTTGCAATACCCTTAATGAGCTCTGAAGACCTCACTCATGTCAGAAGGAGGGATTTCCAGATGCAAGACTAATGTAAAACGCATTAACACTAATGGGGGGACAGGGTGTGTGCGGGGGAACTCCCAGGCCTTTGAGCCCCAGGAGGTTGTTTCGACGGTGTACAGCGAAAGAGCTGTAAGATGCTCTTTGGTGCTTGGCTTACCTGTGGACCGGGACCCATGGGGCCCATCCCTCGCGGAGGATTCATCCTTTGCATGGGGCCGCCCATGTTAGGGTGACCTGTTGGGAGGAAAGCAGGGGTGTTATGTGGCACAGCAGCCACTTCGGGTCCCAGATTAACAGCTAATGAGAAATGTTAATGTTCAACCTTCCTCCTCTGGGTTTACCTTGCTGTCGCGTGGGATCCATCGAATTGGGCAGCAATGGCTGTGTACCGGGAACGGCGCCCGGGGGCTGTGAAAACAAGGGGAGGAAGATTAAAAAAACCCCCAATAATTACTAAAAACCAGCCTACAGATAGATTTGGGTTGAGACTTGAGGCTTTCAGGGGGCTCCTCGGTGTGCTCCTTGGGATGTACCAACCCTCCTGCCCCAGCATGGCTGCTCGACCATCCGTCATCCCACTGCATCCCGCATCCCAAGCGTCTTCCTACAGCCTCTGGGCATTTGCCCCCACTTTCCCTTTGCAAGCACCCTCTAAAAACCAAACAAGGTGCCAGCGTTTCCTCCTCTCCCCACAGCCATCAGCCTGTCGTATTTTAGGGGAGCTGGGGAAAGCCTGGGCTGCACGGGGCAGAGGTGTCAAAGCCGTCAGGGAAAGGACATGGGCAGCACGGCTCCCAGGTATTCCACAGTACCAGGGCCAAACCGTACAAGTTGCAGTGATTCATTGGCTGCCGAGGGGGAGATGCTCCATCTGCAGCACACCAGCATTCGGACCTGTCCCCACGCAGGCAGAGGGGAAGGTGGATGCTCCCCCTCCCCAAACCCACACTCTGCTCGGGCAAGGAGGCTATTTAAAGTTCAAAGGCTGCTCCAAACAGATAAAGGGCGAGAAAAGCGCAGATACCATCTGTCTGCAGGATGCAAACTGTAAACAGTTTTGCTACAGTGCTGCCTTTTATTTGAATGCCGACACAGACAGACCCCACTGCTAGGCACTGGGTGCACACGGCTGGGCCGAAGCAGAATCTGCTCAATCCCAATTTTTTTGCAGCCTGGAAGCTGGCAGGAGGAGGAAGATAAACCAGGGGGGTTGTAGAGATGGGTATTTACACTTCCGCTGCCTGACCTTCCTGCCTGCCTGTTTATTCCTCTTGTCCCTCTGGACGTGACCATAACCTCACCAAGCTCTGCGTAGGTACAAATCTGTGTTTTATATGTGGTGTTTGGGGGAAAAAAAATTAAATCTTTCTGATAAGCTTTACCCACTCCTGGATGTTCGACCCTGCTGCAAAAGCAGCCTCCCCAAACGGGTCCCCTGCCTCTCCTGCTTGCCCCAGCTCACTGTGCTCACCTCCAGCGGTGCTCAGGATGAGCCCAGGACCACAGCAGGACAGGGGCCAATTAAAATTGTGCCATGAAGAGGTGCAGCTAATTAACACCTCGCTAAAACAGCCACCAGTGCTCTGGGTGGGAGGCTCTTCCAGCTCAGCTGGGCTTGGGAGTCCTACATCAGCCCCACCACCCTGAGTTTTTTTCAGCTACATCTCAGCTGTCTCACCATCATTTCACAAGTTCCAGCGATTCAAGTCTCAAATCCAGCCATCACAAACATGAAGCAAGCTGCTGCCTCCTATTTTTTTCTGACTATCCTGCTCTTTCTGCTACTAAGAGCCATAAAAATAATGTTGTTAGCCCAAAAAACAAGCTCCCAAGATGACTTTTGCACAGTCACCTTTGCTACTCAAAGGAATTACAGGTTGCCTTTAATGACAAATAGCCTCCGGTTCAGTCTTTACCCTATGGATCTGCACGGCATCGGTGGGAACGAGATGAATTCCTCAACCAAAGGCCATGCGTTCAGGCAGCGCGTGGGGTGGAAGCCTCTGTCCGTAAGGCCAGAAACAAACTGCCCTTGTTTAAGCTGAGATAAGAGGATAAACCCAACCCAAAAAATTCAGCAGTGACCTGCCCCGCTTGACCCGGCCGCTGATCTAAGCGCTCGGTCAACCCAGCAGCAGGATTATCTCCATCACTTTAATTTTCTGCAATTGCAGGGAAAATCCAGACGGGCTGCAAGCCCACGGCGCGGCCATGCTGAAAACACTACAAATAAGAAGTGGCACATTCCCTACTGCCATTTACACCCTGGATATACTCGAACCTCAAAGAAAAATCAAAATAAAATGGTTACGTGACACTTGATGCTCCAGCACCAAGAAAACGGAGGACGCCCGAAGGAGGAGATGCTTGCCAGCCAAACCCAAGGAGCATCTGCAGGACACCTGGCCCTTGTCCCCCTCCCCAAATAAAAGCCATCCCCAGGAAACCCACTGGTGTGGAGCCCGGCAGCGCAGTACCTGGTTGCCCATCCTGATGGGGGGCCGGGGACCTCCGGCGTAGCGCGGCGACATGAATGGCTGCGGGGACACAAAAGGGAGGTCAGGGCCGAGCTGCAGGGAGGCAGCACGCTCCCCACGCACGCCGGTTAGACTGTACACACTGTTTTTGGTTTGTTTTTTTTTTTTTTTTTCTGGAGACATCCTTTTTAAAAAAGTTAAGTTTCAAAAGGAAAAAAAAACCACAACAAAAACCCAAAAACCAAAAGGTGTTCGGAGTCCATTTTTTAAACATTTTCTCTGCAGATTTATTGTTTGAGAGTGTTTGACATCGGCAATACTAGGTGAGGCTGTTAAAATTAGTGCATGGGAAACCCTGAGTGTTGTTAGATACTGTTCAAGATTAAATATATAGAGATATATTTTAAAAAGTGGCAAATAAGCACATACAGACACGCACACACAAAAAAAACCCCAGTGATAGGTACTGAAAAAAAAAGAAGAAAGACTTAGTTACTTTTTTAGAACTGCAGCTACTAACAGAAGCTTAAAATCCCACATGAAGTTAAATTTCTCAGGCTACCTTGGGAAGGTAAAACAGTCTGATACCCACGATTGACTTCTCAGTCCATTGACAACTGCACATCCAAAAAAAAAAAAAAAAAAAAAAAAAAAAAAAAAAAAAAAAAAAAAAAAAAAAGAAAAAAAAAAAAAAGAAAGAAAAAAAAGGGAAAAAACCAACATTTTGCTTTGGAGCTGGGGTGCCCAGGGGGATGCTCCCCGGGGGAGCGGGTACCCGCTGCCCAGCATGCTTATAGAGGAGGAAAAAAAAAGCAAATCGAGCGCACGTCCCGGTTCACAGCCCTACCCATCGCTAGTGTCTTTACCTGACTGTGGGGTCCCATCATGCTGTTAGGATTGTGGGGTGGAGGCTGTGCGTGTGGCGAGGGCTGTGACCCAGGCGGTCCCTGTGAGGTCAGACAGTAGAAGGAGGTTATAGATTAGCACATGAAAGCGCAGAAAGAGCTAAAAAAAGGATTGACGGGTGGACCTGTTTTGTCGGGGAGTCAGTTCTCCCATTTTAAATTTTTTTTTCCTCTTTTTAATTGAATTTCTATTAATTTGTAGTTGAACAGTGAATAATGATATATGAAAAAAATATTAAAAATTAAAAATCAGAACATCTGTCAAAATACAGCAGCCACATTGATGGTAAACGGTCCAGTAGTTCAACCAAGTCTGCAATGATAAACACACAGGGAAATACTTTGCAAGGGCGTGCAATGAGGAAGAAAAAATATGCAGGAGAGGACCAGAGAGGTTGGGGGAAATACAAAAAAAACCCCCAAGGCAAAAAAAATATCATTTTTTCCTCTCTCATCCCAAAGGTTGGAAACACCTCCGGGTTTTGGTTTTTTTTTTTGACCGTGGTTCACTGGAAGTGCTGGAGCGAGTGCAGAGGACAAGGAGCACGTCCCAGCTCGTGCCTGGGCAGCGTTTGGCCGGCACAACCGGGGCTGCATCGCCAGCCTGGACGGATGCAACATCCTTCCTCGAGGTGGATTCCCTAAGGATGCGAGTAAAATGGCTTGCGAGCAAAGAAAGGATGTCTAGGGGAAAAAAGGAGAGATTAGTCGGTGCAGGTTTAAGGCTGCAATGCAGCAGCCACTGACATTTTGGGCTTGAACGCCCACTTTCTTTTTTTAATTTCCCTTAAAAGCACAAAATGAAAATTTGCTTGGAAAAACTACGAGCTCAGTGCAAGAATATAGCAGTGTGTGTTAACGTAAGGGAAAAAAAAAGTATTTTTTGAGTCAAAGCGGGGGTAATTGGTAGAGAAAGCAAACGAGCTTTGTCAGTAGGTGATGGAAAGCGACGGCAGGCTCCAGGACCGGAGCCGGAGCAGATGTTCTCTACCTGCCTCGTTACTAATTTCAACAAGTGTTCGCCTTCTAGCTGTTGCCAGCAATGGCATGGTTTGTTACCATGAGCAATTTTCTTAATTAACAGACATTAATTAGCCATTTAGCAATTTTGCAAGCATTTGTTTAGCAGCTTTCCTAAACATGAATACCACTGTGATAATGGTACTGATTAGAGGGTCCCCTAATTAACAGTACAGGGAAGGAAAATTGAAATCACATAAATTAAAAAGGGAGGGGAAGTTAATGAAGGCAGGACATATTTGCACCTGCAAATCTTTTGTAAGGCGGAAACTTGAGTGCAATGTAAATAAAGTAAGAGGGTGGGTTTTTTTCCTTTTTTTTTTTCTTTTTTTTTAAAAAAAAATTTATTTGAACGGTTCGGCGGCGAGATGGAGCCAAGCGGATTTAAACCAACAGCCTCCTGCCAGCCTCTCCGCTCCAGCCACTGTGCCCAGGGAAATGAAGTCCCACCATTTATTCTCCAGGAGCTGAAGGCAACCAGCCCCCGCCCCTACTGCCCAGCGAACCCTGGCTGGAAGAGGTCACAGCACCTCAGGATAACCCTCTCGGTGCCAACACAACTGTCTTCTCCATCCACGTCCCACCAGAGTGGAGAAGACAAATCTCTGTGGCCCACCCAACTGTAGCATCAACCTCCTTTAGCAGAAGTCCTCTCCACGCACGAAACTTGACTTATTTTTGCTTCTGAGGTGGCTAACTCTGTCTGTGCAAACGCAAAATGCATCAGGGGCAGCAGCCACTTCCCACTGCTAGTTCGTGGATGACAGCACCCCCCAATGAGGTCTGGCCACCACCAAAGTCCTTCCTACAAATCACAGCTGCAGGATTTGGGGTAGGGAAGATTGGCAGAGGTGAACGAGCGATGAAACCAAGAGGAAGGGAAAAACTAGGACTCACAGAGGCCAACCCTCAAAAGTCCCACCAACTCAAGAGTCAACAGGTCCTCCACAAACACCTGCCTTGCTGCGCTGCAAGGGGAGGTCATTGTTATCCAGGTACTGACTGGACAGGCACACAGACCCTGTTCTGAAGTTACTAAACCCCTGATTAAACCCCTGACATCCTCCCTCTTGTATCCCCTGGCGTGTGGAGTTAACGGGTATTGAATGTGTGGGGGACATGGCCACCTACACTCACCCCGGCTGGGCCTGCAGGTGATGTTTTGGGTCTGCATTTAGAGCTTCAGAGCAAGCAGCGTTTGGTCGTCATACAAAAAGCGTCTGTAAGACATGGTTGCATTTTTGCCACAGAAAAATCCTCTGTGACAAATGGATCCGGAAAGCATAATTTTTTTGCGCTGCTGAATGCGTCCTCTGGAGCATGGTGCTGCCCTGCTGCCCCAAGGCTGCTCCCCGGGATGCTCCAAGCTCAGTACTGCTGCATCCTCACCATTGCATTATCCCATGTGGTACTGCTCCCAGCAGAGACTTCTGGATAATGTGACTGCAAACACCCAGCTTGTGCAACGTCTCAGAGGCAGGGAGGAACCAAAAGGGGCTTTTTTCTTTTTTTTTTTTTTTTAATTCTTCTTTTCTTGCTTTTTCAGAACAGCAATGAGCAGCAGCATCTGAAATGCTCGCTCCAGGCTGCAACCGCCACGGCCCTCTCCCAGCACGGCTGCTCTGCTCCATCAGAAACGCAGACCCTCCGGATACTGTTATCTCTGTAAATATTTGCAGATGTTTCAGGGCCGGGACCTGCGTTCGGCCAGGAACGCCTGCTGGATCGGTTGCTTTTTCACACGGGTTTCCCTTGCTGCAGTGGAAGCAGCAGATGATCCCGATGGATCACAGTGGTTGAGACAAGTGTTTTGCAGAGATGACATGTGGGCTCCAACCAACGGAACAACCCTTTTTTCTTTAAAAATGTGTATTTAGCAGTTATTAGCTAGTGCTGTTACAAGAGGAGGCTGAAACCACGCACAGTCTTGCTTCCTCCATACCACCTCCCTCCAGATCCCAAATGTACAAGCACTGCATCCCCTCGGCAGAGCTCCATCCTACAAGCCGTGCCTAGCGAGCAGGACCTGTCCTGTGGTCATTTCACACTCATCTCAAGACCAGCACTCTCCCCAACCACAGAAACTCTGTAATCTCTTGAGTTTTCTTTTGCTTGCTTTCTTTCTTTCCCCCTCCCGTCCCTCAAACTGGATGGGTTGCACTGGGGGTTATTCCTCACCTTCCTGTAGCTGCCTCAAAAACCCCCCAACAAATGACCCCAAACAGCTAAAACGGCATTAGAGAAAACTGTTTCCAATAACTCTTGGTGCCCCAGCCCCCTCTCTGCTTCATTTTTTTCTCCCCTCTACACTATGGGGACTTTAAAAGCTCAACCTGACCCATCAGACGATCCAAGTTTGCTGCCGCTGCTGCTTTCTACAGGGAGTTTCCAGGCGATCAGGTTATTTCCATTCTGTCTTTCATGAGCTCAACTCCTCAAACTTCTTGTAAAATATTAAAGATGGAAAATGGCACGAGCGATCATAGCTCTGCGTGTGTCAATTTATGTTTCCAGAGTAATTCACCACAAATGGATCATGTTTTATGGGCTACATACTTTCAGCTAATGGGGGGAGTTTTTCTATTTAAAAACATTTTCAAGCACCTCTGGGGGTGGCAGAACAATGCAGGATGGTACGAGAAGGCAAAGCATCGCTGCCACGAGACACCAACAATTTAGAGTTAGCAATAGGTAAGCATCTTGTGTCTTAGAATACCTGCCCCTGTCTACCAGTTTTTACATTAGAAATACTGCAATAAATTACATTGAGATTAATTAAAGATGTGCCTGGGTTTACTGGATAATAGCTTTATTTCTGCTGAAGGAGAGGGAAGTTTTGCAAGTTGTCAATGAAAAAAAAAAAAGATATCCCTGAAGCAGCTTTTAGGAGAGATGCTCCAGGTGCCTTCAGAGAGGAGGACCACGATCGCCTTCCAGCACATGGTGCCGGGTGAGGACCCAACCGCACCTTCTCAAGAGAGTGAAAGGCAAGGCAGGGCAGGGCAGGGCAGGGCAGGGCAAGGCATATCAAAGCAAGGCAAGACAAGGCCAGGCAGGACAAAGCAAGGCAAAGCAAGGCAAGGCAAAGCAAAGCAAGGCAAGGCAAGGCAAGGCAAGGCGGGCCAAGTTCCCCCGCTGATGGTGGAAGGCAGCCGTGGGCAGGAGCTCTGCTTTGCCTGCAGCTGGGGCTCCCAACTGCAGAAGCCTGGTTTTAAGGAATATGTTTAACACAAGCTCTTCAGGAAACAAACCCGTGTCAGCCGGAGCCAAGAACAGTCACCTCCATCTGGCTGGAGCACCCGAGAGAAAGTTGACTGCAAATCCCACCATATGCTCCAGACGCTCAGTACAAAAGCCTCGGGCATCCTACTAAACTTCAAGATAAAAAACTTTCTCTGATGCTTGCTCTTCCTTTCCTCCAGCTCATAAGCCACCTTCCTTCAAACTCTGCCTGGTGCAAGGCTGATACCGAGTTCTGCCACGGGATTTCTGGAAGGGTAGCCTGGTTTTGTGGAAATTGTGCCACCTTGCCAGAGCTGGTTGATCAGAGCTGGTGGCACCCACGGATCAGTGGCAAATCCCACCAAGACGTCAGGACAGCTGAGCAGGGGGAAAATGGTGGCATCCAAGAAGGGAGCAGGACAACATGGACCTTTTCCTATTGCCCCTGGCTTTACCATCCTTACCCTTGTGGGTGACCTTACCCAAAGAGCTGCGCCCCAGGATGCAGGGAGGAGAGGTGGGGAGGGCAGGGGATGTCAGGGGGAGCCCCCCGGGCTCCAGAGCCCCCCGTCCTCCCCAGCTCCCGAGGTCTCTCTGCATTAGGGGGCAGTGTGGGAACACTGAGCAGCCAGCGCTTTGTTTTGGTGCATCTCGGCGCCGAGCCGCTGATGCATAGCTAACGCAGCCGCCGACATTGATTTATGGTCAACTTTCCATTTCATCAGTGTGCGGGGTACGGGGCGGTGCGGGGAGTTCGCAATGGGGAGAGGAGGCACAGCCATGGCGGGGGGGAGCTGCTGACTGCCCCCACCCCTGCGCCTTATTTAGTGTTAAGAAGGTGTGGTATTAATTGCTTTCAAATTTTAATTCTCCTTCCTACATTTCCCTGGCACCCCCCGTCCCTCCTTTGACAGATCCGCACCCCGGCATCAATCCAGCTTTCAAAACAAAAGCAGGAACGCCTCTGATGACCTTTAGGAGGATAAGCAGAGGGTTTGTTTGCTCATCTCAACAGGACAAAGAGAGAGATTTAAATAAAAGCATCTACCCACGCTGGCCATCAACCCAGCCACCTTTTGTCCAGAGCACAGCCCAATGCCGTACCGCTGGCTGGCACCATGCAATGCCCTGGCAACCCAAGGGTGCCCAGGGCCTCTCCTTTCTCATCGTTTTGGGAAGGTTTTGGGAGTCTCTGCAGGCTGCATTTCCCTTGGCCCCCACCCCGAAGGTTGCTGCTGAGCCCCAGTGCAGGGGACTCTCCCTGCAAGACGGCGGCTGCAGATGGGTGCTGTAGCCTGGACTCCTCCTCTCCTCTCCCCTTCCCAGCACGCCACTTCTCCTCCAAGCTTACTCCCACGGGTTTTTGGGCCGCTAGCTCCCAGGAATGGTCAATATAATTTGTTTCCTTTGCCAAACAGTGGTGCACAACCGAATGCATGGGCCTGGGGGGCTTCATGCACCCCCAGGGCAGCAGCACGGGGTTTCTGCAACCTGAGCTTCGCTGGTGACTCCCTCCTCAGCTCCCAGTGTGATGCCCCAACACGGCAGGACAGGATCAGGCCCTCTAAACCCTCTCAAAAACGGTCTGCCCATGCCTGCTACCCTCAGGGATATCCCTTGCAGGTCCCTGGTGCTGCCTGCAATACGGTGCAGAAGAGTGAGATGCTGAAACCTCCAGAGCCCTCTCCATCCTCCAGTCTCCCAGCACAAGGAGGGCACTGGCCAAGGTGGTACCACCAGGAACCTCACTCACTCCCAGGGCTAGCACACCAATGGTCGGGGAGAAGTCCTTTGCAACTCCTGTGACCTTTTTGGTTTTGCCCTCTTAAGTTCAGCACTTTAATTTCCTACAGAGATAGGAAATGACCCCTGAGCTGTGATCAGCTTGCCACTGAGCCTCCAGCCCACCTCTGCAAGAGCTGGTCTCCAGTATCTCCTGAAGCTGGAATGAGCTCCAGCACCCGCAATAAATCAGACAGGCTTTCATGGAGGCGATGTTCAGACAGTGTTAAAAGGTGGGATTTTTCTTCTCCCCTCCTCCCCTCCATCCCCAGGGCTGGGAGGAGAAACCAGATGTTGGAGGGCTTTCAGGAAAGGCAGGCTCTTAAGATGTCACATGCGAGCCATATGCATCGGCGCCCATCCTCTCTTCTCTCCGGCAGCTCTGGGGATGGGCAGCATCTCCACACATGACACCTGCACCAGTGCTGTTACTTCTGCTGGGTTTTCAGGACCCCCCCCCCATGGGCTGCTTTTGAGCTCCTCCTTCCCCAGCAGCTCCTGGTCCAGCCGCATAACAAGTAGAGAGCTAGGATGGGTTGTTTGCTCCTGAATCGGACTCTCAGTGCAAAAATGCTACGTGAGAGCAGAAAGGAAAGCAGAGGGGACAGCTTGAAGGCTGTCAATGGGAAGAGTCGAGACAGGAGCATGCACAGCATGTCTAGGAAGATGCAACTTCTCTTCCTCACCCTCCCCTCCCGGGAAAAGCCAGCCCATACTCTTGAAGCGTTGTCCTAACTTTCTGCCAGTTTTGCAGCCCTCGCAGCTCTGCGTGAAGCAGGAGCCCCAAAGGACACTCAGCTTCGCCGCGGGGTGAGATCAGGACTTCTGGAGACACATTTGTTGGAAGCAGCAGCTTGGCACTCAAATTGCTGGCAGCAGCTATGACCTGCGAGATAGCATCTCTGCTGTTGGCTTCACCCCGTGCTGCCGAGCGCTGCTACAAGATTCGCCTGTTTTAGGGTCCCCAATCAATATCGGATATTCTTACTTTGTCAGAAGCATGTTCAGGAAATGGGATCTCTCTAAAAAAAAAAAAGACAGGACCCTTCTTCCCCCTTCCCATACACACGCAAACCGCAATATCGGGCTCAGATATCGCCACAATAAATCACAAGTGCCTTATCAAGTCTGCCTGTCTACTGCCCAAGAACTCCCATATACAAATCACAAGCACAGATAAAAAAAAAACAGCTTGCCAAAACAAATATTCCTTTCAACTCTTATCCCATTTGCTACACGAACAAGTGTTTCTTCCTCAAGAAGGAAGATTTTAATGCACCGAGAGCTCATGCCGCTGCAAACCAGTGCGGCTCATGCCATGCAAAGAGATTCCAGAGAGAACCCCCAAAAAACCCCCACAGTTTAAGTTTTGAGAACTCCTTTTCTGTGTGCTTGTCGAGATCCTTTCCATCAGCGTCACTCCAAACATACGTTACCCCCTCCTCGGTCAGAGCTTGGCGCAGGAGAAGGAAGGAGCAAGGGGACTTTGCGGATTTTGCTAGGTATTTGCTTACAAGGTGCCTCCACGGCACTTGGGGACTTGGCTGGAGCCCGCTCCTGCCTGCAGCCGCAGCCAGCATTTGTTAATGCTTTCAGTGATTGCATTTGGAAAAAATCAAGCGGTTAACCAGAGGAGGGGGAAAAAGTTTCAGGAATCAAAATCCAGAATGTTTTCAATTATGCACGTCTGTTAGGACCGGAGAACAAATACAATCCCAACCCAAACACAAACCAAGCAGCTTTCGAAAAAAACATTGGTTGTAAATACACAGTACCCTCTTCAAGCAAGAAAGAAATTTGCTTTAAGGCCACAAAAAATAGAAACCAAACGTGGAAGGACAGCAGAACATGAGTTATTCCTAGACAGGTCAGCTATGCAGGCATGCTGCTTCCCTAGCATCCCCTTGGAAAAAAAAAACACAGGCACAACAGCGCTGACACCCAGAGCGTAAGCAAACACGTGCGCGATGTGAAGGCAAGCATTGGAAAGAGCGGCAGCCTACCTGGAAGAAACCGGGCGGGATGGGGCCCCCGGGCATTCCATCGTTCGGGGGAATGTTTCCAAGCACAGGACTCGGGGCGGCAGCTGCACTCTGCGGGGAGCAAAACCAGGACAAACATGGTGGGTTTGAGTCGGAGTTAAGGAAAAACCACATTAAAAAAGCTGTCTCTCTGGCCACACCACACTGAGTCAATTAGCCTGTTGCCTCCAGAGCCCTGAGCATCACTCCCCATGGCTAAGCATCTTCCCCCCTCATGGGGGAACAAGCAAAGGACACTTGGAGACAGAGGGGTACTGGCCTCTGCAATTCACCCATGGAGAAGACGGCTGCACAAAACCCAGGGATATTTCTGGGGCCTATTTATTCATTTACCCAGGCATTTAGTCTCATTAATCCACTGAGGAGACGCATCCAACATGTCACTTCAGGCAGAAGCTGTTTTAAGGCTTTTTAAATGCTTCTCTTACGCCACCTCCTCCTGCACGCTTGCCTGTTCAGTTTTGTCCTCCAGAAAAGATGCCTCCCTGACCTCATCAGCACACCAAGGTTTTATTGTGAATTTCCAAATTCATCACACCTGATCTGTGGGGTCACGTTCCCCCTTGCACCTCCCCAGGACAAGCCACTCGAGTAGCTCCAGCCCTGAAAAGCGAAGGACAGGAGCAGACACAGGGTACCTGGACACCCCGCTCGCTCCTGCTCAGTATCTCTATTGGTATTTACTTCCTCTCTGTGATGTACACGGATGGACAAAAGGGTTTTTCTGGTGGAAGGAGCTGCTCTGGCAGCGCTGAGGGAAGGGTGGCATGCACCAAATCACCTTGGGAAAAGCACCAGTGTGATGGGAGGCTCCTACCCAGAAAGAAAATGCTAAGAAAAAGATCTTTCCCCGAAGAACCTGCTGACACACGTCCCTAACGGGTCAGGAGCAGGGTACCTATGCTGTTGAAGTGTACTCTCATTTACCCATCACCAAATGAACCCCCATTCTCAGGACATTTACAAGGCAGCCTCAGTGATATTAACTGGGTTTGGATCACCGAACTACTCCCTCTGTGAATTTTTACAATGGACTTACCCATCTAAAACCATGTGGCAGCGCCAAGGAAAATCATGCACCACAAAAAAAAATTGGTGGAAAAATTTTCCACCAAGGAAGCCCCACAGGCAGATGGGGTATGTGTGAGTCTGCTCAGGCTTGGTTTTACCCCAAAGCTTGGAGCACCCCACCCCACCAAACCCTGTCCTGACAGCAGCTGAGCCAGCCCCGGCCCACAACAGCATCTGGTGCAGTGACAACCACAAGATGTGAGCAGAGGTGGGGAAGCTGGGGTGTCAGGACTTGGGCAGCCTGGAAAATTAAGGATGATTACTATTATGGACTAAGGCTTGCCAAGGTGGGACCCCAATGTCTGGTTGGGAATCTTGCTACACCAGGAAGCCTTCCAGAGGCAGGAGAGCATCAGGCTAACTGCTGCCTTGTGCCTTGCCGGGGGCCATCCCTTGAGCCCCATCCATCACATTCTCCTGCAGGAGCCAGCATGCAGGATGCAGGATGAAGACCAGGACCACACTGGCTGAGTGGCTGCTTTTCCCACCCCAACATCTCAGAGCTGCAAGCACCAGAGACGACAGTGCAGGCTCATTGCCCAAAAAGAGACCCCTTTTGTGAAATAACCACGGTCCCCCTGTGGCGATGGGGTCCTGCGCCCCCAGGCACAGCCCACACCACGCTCCCCCCGTGCCCCTGAACAAGGCATCCCGAGCAGCCTTCCCAACATCACCAGCAAAGGCCAGATCTGAATGTTTTTACAGTTAATAAAAAAAAAAACTTCTGGCAGGAAAAATAAGCCTGCCCGTTCCAGGCTCTTTTTATACTTCAGACGGCAGCAAAAATAGACGGGAGAGGGAGTGAACCCAGTTCTCCCCCTCCCTCCATCCCCCCAAGTGGGTCAGCTATAAAAGTAAAACCAAATCTTAATCCAAGGCCATGAACATATTGCAGTTTCTCTGCAAAGCAGATGACGGTTCTTAATGCAAAAATATATAAGACCGAGCCCCAAACTGCAGCGAGCCCATTTGGAATTTCCTTTATTAAACCCTCTATCACGCAAAATGCTTCTCTCCCAAGGCGGCGAGCGCTGCAATAAAGCTGCCAAGGTGATATTTTATGGTTTCAAGAGATTTCTAGCACACCATAATCCTTTGCTGGGGGAATCTCCCAAAGCGAAATGGATCCCAAAGCGGTGGAGAGTGAGGATGGATATGTATTTGGGGATCCAGGGGGAAAGTACGCTGCCCTCCTCCTTCCCTCTGCAACAGGCAGCAGAGGGAGGAGGGCAAAGCAGCCAAAGAAAATCTTGAAGCAAATGCCCGTTTTTCCACAAAACCACAGAGTATTTTTCCACGTTAAACACCCCGAAACCTCACCTGTGCCTTCACAACATAAACGGAGATTTAAAGTTCCTCGCACATGTGGCGCTTGGCAGAACTCGGTAATTAAAAACCCGCAAGTGCCCTGAGCATATTGTAGGATGGGAGCCAAATTGGTCAGCCCTTGATGAATGATTTACAAGGCTGCGAAGTGACATTTTATTTCTTTTTTATTCCCCTCCCCATCACCACCGCTAAGGTAAACACGGAGGCACCTTTAGCCCTGCAGAAGCAATGGGAGCGCAGCCGTGGCTGGAGCAGCTCTGCAAAACCCTTGGGATGTGCCAGAAAGAAAAAGGAGGGAAAAAGACAGTGGGAATAAATTTCCTAAACCATAAGGACGAGCAGCCAAACCCTGAGGATGAGCCGCCATACTCCAAGAGGCAGCACCCAAACTCCAAGGCTTTTCCAGCACCCACTTCCAGAAAACCAGAACATTTTTGCTTTCTCAGCTCCCCCCACCTGGCTTATTTTCACCATTTTGGCTCAGAAACTCTTTTTAGGGACTCAGAGATTTTGGCTGGAGTTTGCCTGCCAAGCCCCTTTCATCAGGTGAATATT